ACATTACTGAAGGCACCAGTACAATTTTCAATATATATATATATATTGCGTCAAAATTTCAATGGGGCAAGCTCAAGCTCCCTGCAAATCTGGTTACAGGCAGTATGACCAAATCTAAAATCAAAAAACGGCTGATCCATACCGTCGCTGTTCTCCAGATAGTAAGACCTGTATAAAATAACAATAGTATATATATTGATTTAATGATTCAAGGGCGCCCAGATGAAAGACAAGATTACTTACGATTTATTGAAGCACACAACACTTGAAATACTCCCAGTCTCGTCACAGTCTATTTGGCCAATAAGAGTTACACCACCACTCTTCTGGTAAACAAAATGTAAAAAAGCATATATCAAATGTTTCCATGGATCGGAAGCCGGCATAGTGTCCCTGAAGCACGACGGATACACATATCGTTGAATGCTGGTGTCGCGGGCAGTTTCGCACAATACCCATCGAGGGATATCATCCTCAAGAGACCCAATGGTCTGCATCAAATAAATGCGAGGTACCTAAGAACGTAGTCAATGGTAAGTAACTTGCAATATACAGTTAGCCAGGTTCTATACCGACGTGTAAAGCAGATGCTCGTAAAAACCACTCCCGGAGTTCAAGAGCTAAGCAGTTAGCCGAACTTTGCTCATTCCACAATTTGCGTAACCGGCCTTTGAATAATTGAAGCATGCTTCCAACATATGAGTGAGCATTGACTATCTCCAAAGCATGTTCTCTACCAGATGTAGCAGAAGACGACCATCGGGCGTGAAACCTTGCTATGCCTTCATACGGCATAACTACACCGTCGCCTTGCAATTCACGAAAAGACCAATCATTTATATCTCGGGTCTTTGATATGTCAACTTTGCGACCCATTTCGTAGACCACAATGGCCTCCGTAAAGCCAGTGACGCCATCTGGAACGTATGTCGGCAATGATCCGTGATCGTAGAAGCCTTCCAGGTGGTAAAGGAAGGCTGCGCGTTTGGAAGGTGAATCCAGTCGGAAGTTCGAGACTCGATGTGGAACAGATATGCATATGACACTGCCAGCCCCTAAAACAACTGCCATAGGTTGAACCGATATTTTATACAAAATCAAAAGTTAACAACTATAATAAAGAAAGGTAGGCGGTCTCAATAATTCACGCACCCTCCGAAGTAGTGTGTCTCACAGCGGGGCGAGCCCTGACCTTGTATATAGTTCGGGAAGTTGGTACCATTTGACCTGAAGTGTTGCCAACCAGTATGGGCTCCCTACGAGTATCTTCATCACCGGCTGGTTCAACAGATCCGTGCACAGAAGCAGAACCAGTAGAGGGACTTTTGGTGATGGGGGTTTCAATAACAGAGCTGGTAGATGTGGTGTTAGGTGAGTCTATGACATAATCCCCACTTGGAGTGCTTGCCAATATGACACTGTCTTCGGATGATTCTAAGGGGTTGCGCGTCGGCATGATGATAGATGAAACAGAAAAAATGTAAAGAAGTTATGATTGGTATGAAGGGATGAATACAATTTATTTCAATAGTGAAGCCTCATCATTTGAGACAACTTGGTTTCAGTGAAAGGCAAGCGACCACGCGTGTGTTCTAATAGCTCGTAATTGTAATATTCTTGCTGCAAACATAGCTGGTAAGAATCAAATTCATATATATTTGGACATGAATGACATTAACTCGCTAATAAGTCGCTTGGATATAGCGGTAATTGTTTATCAATCCTCATCATGACCATGAGGCGTTTGGTAAATATAATATCATTATCAAATAGGCATATTTTGTTGCTCGATCAGTCCCGATCATAATGAAACCAAGCCACTATTATCAATGATCATACAAACTCGTAGACATGCCTGACATATAACACTACAAAATTCGATTTTAACATCATGTTTTGCGTGAATCCTTCGGTTATTTGTGAATATCCAATAATGATGATACATTTGGTAGCACCACATGAAAAAAATGTGTAGCACTCCATATGACTAACTAGGGGAAAATAGATGCAATCCTTCTCTTGGATCTGTGGTTACGAACCGAAGTCTTGAACATACAAGCGCGATTCACACCTATGATCACAAGAAACACGTGTTATAGAAATACATGTTTATAGAATCATGAATAGTTTTTTGGCTCACGAGAAAAAGTCCACATGTGACCTTTGACGAAACCCCTTCTGAAACAGTGGTAGCAGATAGCACCGGGCATGGTATGAACATTAGCACCCTTTACTTGTTTAATCTGATTGTTTGCCCACATGCGCCCTTTGGCGAATCCCCTCCCAATACAATGATAGCAGATAGCACTGGTCATGTTACAAACATGACTAACCTTGTCCGCTTCGACCTGTTGAACTTTACCTACAGCAACGGTCTGCTCGGCGGCTATTAAAGGAAGTATCATATGCATCAGCACAGGTCATCGATCATATTTTGGCAGAGTCACCACATTACCTTCAATTGGTTGAGAAATAGATGTGTCTTCTACTAGCATAACGCGCTCTTGCCCTTGAGTGGCAATCACTAATATTAGAAAACACAAATCATGTCAGCGAACGTAATAATTATGGTCATGTTTGGTGCTTTAACTCACTTTCTTCCAATTGTACCACACGACGTTCTCCTTGATCATTTGAAGCTACCATAATAAACAATAATAAACAAATTTAGTGTCCCTCATCAATACGAAGTATTGATGATTGGTCAGAGATTTACCCGCTTTCTCAATGTTGTTCAACATGTCGACATCTTCCTGCGTCAACTCCAAAGACTGGATGTCGTCACTGTCATCTAATATACCAAACGGACGTTTCAGTGTGGGTAATGAAACATTTATTAACTAATATGCTTACCGGGTTCAAATGCAGCTTTGGCTTTGGCCAGAGCCTCATCCGTCATATTGAACATGTCTAAACTGTAGGAGATGCCGTTACTGGCGCGTCGCCAATGTTGGAATGCCATTCCACCACCTGTGGCCTCGCACGAGGTATACCGGTGGCCAATTTGTCCACAACGGAAACACTGATTGAGCCCTGCCCAAATTGCTGGATGAGATCTGTCGTTTATTTGATAATTGAAAATCTCAGATTGGGATCGGGCATCTAAGCTATTGAACCACGCCAAGTCCGCAGGACTCGGATTGGGATCATGCCTGAATTTGCTAACATTCGGCATAATGAGCAGATTTTGATGATGAGGAAATGATTTGAATGGAATATGATGATACGTGGATTATGATGAGAGGACCAGAAATCTTTATTGGATGGTGGATGAGACGTGGTTTATGGTGAGAAGACCAGAACTATTTAAGATATTGACAAGATACTCTTATCTTGTCAATAAATCCATATTCACGTTTTGATATGGCGACCTGGACATCTAGATGTATTGATCTTCAACACTGTCATATCATATCCCGAATGCATCACAACATTGATGCAAGGAAGTTGGGTATGGAATAATACTGAATTAACTACTATTCATCAAACAACTCAGTAAATATAACCCCAAACGAAAAATATCACGATGGGTACGTGATCATAGTAGCCATATGAACAGGTCGCAGGCAGACCAATCACAGACATCGTGATTGGTTTTCATATATGTCCGCGTGATCAGTGTTGCAGTTAGTTGCATACCGAACACGCCGTTCCTTATCTTCCAGTATTATTTAATGTTCCGGAACCTATTGATTGGATGGATATACAAACAAACCAATCCAATCAAAGTTTTTCACCATCTCCTACCCGCAAACTGGAAATATGGACCACATTGATGACTCTTGGATTGATAACTTATATGTAGGGAAATACGTATATACAAACAATGATTACCCAACCACGTGATCACGATAGCGCATCAACTCTCGCAGTTCCAACATTAATTGCACAACCAAATCTAATATGAGTAATACCAAGTATCATTTATAGATCGCTCTAACTGAGCCGGAAATGAATCACGGTTATTTATCAAATACTGTAACTGATAATGCATAAATGATTTGAACTATAAACACTAAACAACGAGACAAAAAAAAGGAAAGGTCACACAAAATAGAACATAAAATTTACTGAATAATGATAATGTGTCTTTGGTTGCCATTTAGTCAGTAAGATGGTGATTCAGAATTTCTCCCCTTTTCACCCATCTGTACGTTGCCGATGATTTTGCATATATCATTGCAGATATGTTGCGTTGCGAACAACTCGAAAGTACGGTCAATAACTGCCATATCCACAGTTTCACGGCTGTGGTATGGAGGGCAACTGATGAGAAATAAGATGGTACAAGTGGCGTATTTCTTTAACTTATTGATTAGTTTGGAGTTATAAGTGATTCGAATACAAACTTACTTTTTTGCATAGCAAGATAGGTTACTAATCTTACCGTGATCGTCACATTCCAGATTAGTTATTAAAGTTTCCTCGCCACTAAGGTCGTATGTATAGTGAATGAAGGCGTGAATGAGGCTAGCCCAAGTGCTAGGTTCTTGCGGCGTGATGTTGAAGTTGTTTTCAGAGACAAATGAGTGGCTGCAGTCAGTTGCGCCCTCAACAATCATCCACCTTGGTTCTCCCACGTATGGCGAACCTGCGGACTGCAAGGCGTAACATGGCTGAATCTAAAAGACTCGAATTGTTCAAATTAATCAATCACTTGATCACCAATGAACCAAGTGACAGCGACCTACCACCATTGAGCAGGAATCGGAGTACCATTGTTGGTAATCCGGAATGAGCTTGCCGCTATCATCCCTTCGTTTGTTGAACAAGTGAAATTGAAAGGATTTCAATGTCATAGCAGCGTGACGATGGCTTTCTGCACGCGCAAAACAGTGTGACCTTCCTTGAGTTGGCAAATCTTTCCAAGTTTCATGGAACTTGAGGAAATAATGACCGCGAAGGAAACCGCGTATCTCATGATGATCGAAATATATCCTCCGTACTCTCCATCCTTCTTTGTTTGATTCGCTCTTGATTAGTTGGAATCCCTTGTATGCTATATGGTCATCGTAGTATTCTACATCTTCGTATGGATCGTAGGATACTACGCAATCCATTGGGCGAACGCGCCTAGCCTTTAAACGGTACAGGGTTCCCTCCTCTTTGCGGGCTAGATTTTCGATTGTTTCGTAGTACGGGATTGGTACTTTGTCTGCGGTTGATTTGTAATATAAGCCCATAAGCCAGTTAGGCGGCAGTCAGTTCAGTGACCTTGACTGTCCCTGGTTAGTTACCTGACATTAGGAAACGTCAATATCACAGGTTGATCGGACGTACTCGATGAGTCTGAGGTGATAGTGTCGTTTGTCCGATTACCAGGTGGAGTCAGAGTTCTGGTTAGGCGGTTACCTTCTACTTGCTCACCTTGGGTGGGCTTTGTTAAATCGATGATAATACGATGTGACATTGAAGAGAGTAAATATAAGTGATGTTGTAATTATAGGTAAGGTATGACAGTAAGAATATATAAATGACTACTATATAATCGGGTGATGAAGAAAGATACATTTTGACCACGTATTAACGAGGTCTTTTTGGAAATGCTGACGTTTTCATTCAATTGTGGCTCGATTGCATTCATATGTACCGCCATTTATGTTAAAATGATTTCATTCGCCCGTTCGTTGTGATGTTATAGCACCTTTTTTTTCTACCACATGATTAATACCTAGGCCATAACATGATCGGAAGGGAATAGGGAAAATTTATGTTGCATTCCGCGGCCATTGAGGTGTTGGCGGCCACTATAAGGTATTTACACTATATTCCGACGAGGTTTTGCGATAGTATGAACTTCAAACAGATGATGTTGTATAGCATCTTAGTTGTATAAGCTCAATGATAATATAGAGATTTGTAATATGGCTAAACTTCTTAAATTATGCGTAGCTTGGCATTACATAGTGGAATCTTGGTAAAGAGATACGTTATAACAATGGATTTGATTTCAATGGCTTGAATGAGAGTGTTGAAAGTAAGTAAAATGAGAAATATATGGACATATATGAACAAGGTAATCGGACTGACAACAATAAATGAAAAAATGAAAATCAACAATAAAAGAAAAAATGAAAACCACGCAGGAGGAATCACACAATGAAACAAGTTGAATGGGCCAATATATTACCTATTAACAATATGTACAATCATATAATAACTCATCAATTCGAGCAGGGAATGTATAACACTAGCAAAAGCCCACATCATATGGTGTCCAAAATTATCCATCAAACAAAGCCACCTGGTTGCATTACCATGCGTCTGCTAGCTCTTCACCAAAAGATAACTTCGCAGAAGCAAACGTCGTGTCTACATGATTTCGTTTACACTCCCTAAACCATTCATCCCATCGCTCCTCAGTTACAATGGTAATCCATCGTATGTACCGATACATGGCGGTTCGATTCCAATCATGGTCAGCCGCGAAGAAGTCGTTCCACACTTGCTTCTTGCCTGGGGTCGACAAATGTTTTGCATGCCAATTAATCATACGCTTCATCGGCAATTCCGGTGGTGGCCACTAAAAGATACCACAGAGGTTCCAGTCTGTCTGGGCACTCAGGATGAAACACAGATAAATGAAATTAAACTCACTAGACCAGTCTTACGTGTCCTTCTTTTAGCTTTCGATTTTTTTCGGAAGGTGGGGGGTTCAGTATCAACAGGTTGCGGCGGGGGCGGAGGTCCAGTCATAGAAGGTCTAGTTTCTTCGCCTCGGCGACTTGAATCACTCCGATCTGATTCATAGTCACTTTGGTTGATGTGATTGGCCAATTGTTTGTCCGGCCCTGTTAGGTCTGTGATAGGACTTGAGAAAAAATTTGGCGTCTGTTGGGTTGGGGGGCTGTCAGGCTCGTTGTCGTTGAAGATGTTACGTGAGAATTTAGGACCTGTGCCTGGATTGATGACATTGATGACCGGCTGAGCGTCTGGGACGGCAATCGCATTTTCGCTGGCGTGATTCATGGCAGAAGCTAGAGGTGATTTGGTAATGGGATAGGCAGAAAGCGATGTGTTTCGAGCTTGCCGTTTGTTGACTTCTTTGATATTGACCGGCGTCATTTCAGGCGTTGAATATTGTTGGGATGAAACAGATGACACTACTGAGCTCGATCGAGCTGAGATGCTTCCAGGCGTGTATTGGTGATTTGTCGGTGTGGTTCTAAGCAAATCCAATGTGCTTCTGATCGACGTGCGGTTCACTGGAACCAGCCTCTCCTGTAAATCGGTCAGTCCTCGACACAACTTGGGATCTTCTACTGTAGTCATGCATACTAAAGCTTCACGAAGCGGTGTCACCATGGGGATGGAAGTCCCCACTAACGATATATTCTATACATAAAGATTGATGGTTTATAGTGTTAGTCATTTTTGTACACTTGCAATACCACTTTGGACTGACCCATCTGTCCGCTTTCACATCGTATACACGCAGGCACTGATTCCAATGCGGGTCGGTGGCCTTTATAAACATGATCAAAGCTTCGCACTCAGATATCGCATATTGCTTCATTGATTTAGAAGCAAACATGAAAGATATGGGATCGCTGTCTGCCTGATGAGGAGGATTGAAAGTCAAGATAAATACTATTTTGTCATTGTAAAATCCATGGTCACTTACTTTGAACCATAGCGAAATTGAGATGTTTTTGTCACAGCTAGCCTCAGCTGCTTCTTCTGCACGCTTAGCTTCTTCTTCCTGAGACCGATTGAGGTGATAGAATCGCATAGTTGCAGGAGAGAGAGCCAAAGGGTGTAGTGGAGGCGCTGGCCCTAGCAGCTGAGATTGATCGACTTCATTGCGTTGCGTATTTGATTCAGCTAAAGTTGCTTGGATAGTTGCTTGGGTGCTGCCACTTGCGGCGGATTCCAAAACGGTTTCAAGAAACGGTTGAGTATTAGGTACTACGGTGGCTTTTGCACGCTCGGCAGATTCATGAGTGTAACACTGGGTACCAGTAGCTTCTCGCTGAGGTCGGCAGCACTACATTAATGCAAAGAGTCCTCAGTGATATCTTTTTTTCAAAGGAACAGCAATAGCGGGACACGTACGTCGGGACACACTTGCCACGTGCATTTGCGATTCCCCGGCTTGCTTTTACCTGTGTGTGTACTTATGCCATGGATGCCTTCGCAAGGTAAGCGCGTACGTTTCGGTTCAGCCATAGATTTGGTAAGGTGGTCTCCGGTTCGCTTGAGAATATGTGCTGAAGGGCTGGACTGAACGCTGGGGTCTGATGAAATAGAACACGTTTGTAAGTTATTCAACTTGCAAATGTCCTGAATGTACTCGTTTCGACTATATGTCCGAAAGGCTCCTTGGCTTTCTTTGTCCAGCGGGCACTGGAAAGGAAAGTTGGTCAATTAGTTGGTCAAAGTGGTGTGAAAATGCGTAATGGTATGCTAATCATACCCTGAGGCCTATCAATGGCTTGTTTGGTTGTCGACGAGGATTGTAGTAATGTGAGGAGTGGATAGGTTGATGTCTACAGCGTGGTCCTTTGCAATGAAATCCAGTCGGTTGTCTGAGCTCTACCTTTAAAAATCCTTGTGGATTTATCCGACGTTCATAAACAAGTTTAGGATAATATAACTGAGTGGTGAGCATTGAGGAGTTACACAGCCAGAATGGACGAGTCTTAAAGGTAATGAACTCTTGAGTATAGGACTGAATAAATGAAAAGGTATGGACGTGTACATGGAATACGTGGGGACGTGTGGAACTATGTAGGCTCGGAAACGATGTATGGGTCACAGCTTTGGAGCTCATGGTCAGGCGAATGTGGATGTTCGTTTCTTTGGAGCGAGTAACGTCAACACTCATGAGCGATACATGTTCGAAATGGTAATCATTCGTCCGAATGAGCGATTTTGTTGCGCTCATTATGACCTTCTACGATTAAGTGAGATTATTAGGAAAGAAAGGGTTGGTGAGCGGTTGATGGGAGGCCGTAATGATAGGTAATGATGCTTTGAGCTTTGATCATGACATTTGAGGTGCAAAGTTTGGTGTCTCACTGCGTCGAAACGAATGCGGCGAGGTTCACACGCACCATTTGTCATGTTGGATGACACTTCCTTAGGAATGTTCCTAAGGGTCTTAAGGACCTTTTTTTTGGGACGTTCCCAAACTTCCGCGAGTCCGACCAAGCCCTCGGAAGATTAGCCT